CGACGCCCACGTCGTCGTCGTCGTCGTCGTCGTCGTCGTCGTCGTCGTCTTCGTCGTCGTTGTAGTCGTCGTCGTTGTCGTCGTCGTCGTCGTCGTCGTCGTCGTCGTCGTCGTCGTCGTCTTCGCTGTCGTCGCCAGGACGTTGGACGCGGTCGTCGTCGTCCTACAATGGTCGGCCGCATTGTCGGCGTCTTCATCTTCTTCCTCCCCTTTTTTCCCTCCTGCTGCTGCCCTTTCTCCTCCACGTCATCCTCGTCCGCATCCTCTCATCTCCCCTACCCCTGTCACCCCTCCTCCTCCCCCTCCCCCATCATCTCGCCTCCTCCGTGCCCTTCTCCTTCGCCTTATACTTCTCGCTTCCTCTTCTCGTCCTCTCGCCACCTTCCGTCCTCAACCTGTCCATCTGTTCCTCTCTTCCTATTCTTCTCCTCCTCCTCCTCCTCCTTCTCCCCTCGTCGTCGTCGTCCTCCTTCCCTTCTCCTGCTCTACTCTTCTCTTCTCCCCCCTCCTCTCACTCACTCACTCACTCACTCAGTCACTCTCTCACTCACTCTCTCACTCACTCACTCACTCACTCTCTCACTCTCTCACTCTCTCACTCTCTCACTCTCTCACTCTCTCACTCTGGCGCGCCCACGTGGGGCACATTGTGGCCGAGGCCCTGGGCAAAGGGCAGGCACGGCGTCGCCAGAACGATGACTCTGGCAGTGGTGCCGATGCACCTTGCGCTCGCGGTCGGGCCTCGCAATTGCGAAACAGTTTCATGGGATCCAGGGAAACGGCGCCTGCCTCATCGCCAACTGGTGGGGCGCACATGCGCCGGCGCAAATGCGCACGCAGTCTCTCCGCATCTCCTGGGCCTCACCAAGACCTCCCTGCTGCAGGCGGAGACGGCGGCGGCAGCGGCGGCAGCCGCAACGGCGACGGCGGCAGCGCCAACACATCACGACGACGACGACGCAAACGCCGACGCCGACGCCAATGCCGACGCCGACGCAAGCGACAACATTGACGACGATGATGACGACGGCGGCGGCGACGACGACGACGACAGCGACGACGACGGAGAGAATAACGAAAAACGACGACGACAACGACGGCGCAGCCGACACACACGATGACGACGATGACGACGACGACGGAGACCACGACGACGACCACGATCACGACGACGACGACGACGACGACGACGACGACGACGACGACGACGACGACGACGACGACGACGACGACGACGACGACGACGACGACGACGACGACGACGACGACGACGACGACGACGACGACGACGACGACGACGACGACGACGACGACGACGACGACGACGACGACGACGACGACGACGACGACGACGACGACGACGACGACGACGACGACGACGACGACGACGACGACGACGACGACGACGACGACGACGACGACGACGACGACGACGACGACGACGACGACGACGACGACGACGACGACGACGACGACGACGACGACGACGACGACGACGACGACGACGACGACGACGACGACGACGACGACGACTACTACGACGGCGACGACGACGACGACGACGACGGGCAACGCTGGCGGCAACGACGACGACAGCTGGCAGGAGCACGCACGCGGTGTTTCCCCAAGGAAAACACCGAACGAGTTGCCCCGCGCCCCCGCGCGCCCGGGCTCTTCGAGCGGCTGGAGCTGGAGCCCTGGGCAGGGCGGCGGCGGCGGCTGGGGCCAGCAGCAGCAGCAGCCGGCGCGGGGGGGGTGGCGGCGCTCGCGGGGACGCAGGCGGCAGCGCCCCGCGCCAGCGCTGGCGCGGCGCCCAGCGCGGCGGGCGGCAGGGGGGGGCGCGGCATCAGCGCTGCTGCGGGCCTGGCGCCGTCTGGGGCCGCCTCCCGCACCACGGCCCAGGCGGCCGTGGCGGCCAGGACATGCTCACGCATCTCGGGGGTGCCGTAGATGGTAAGCTCTGCTGCCGAAGCCAGAAGTAAGCTGACCGCACCTCCGCTCGTGATGGGGCGGATCAGCACGCCAATCCGCATCCTGTTCGTCCCGTAGAGCCACGTGGCCTCGCGCCTGTCAGTGTAGAGGGTGGTCCCACGGGGTGAGCCGCCGCCAGCTGCAAGACCTGTTCCACGGTTGAGGGCCCTGCTCTCGGCGCGAGCAGGCAAGCCCCGCCGGAAGCGCTCGTTGCCGCCACCCCTGGGGTCAGGAGCGCCGCTGGCCGAGGCGCGCCGGGAGCGCCGCGAGGTGCTCGCAGGCAGCGGCGCCGGCGCGGCAGCCACTGGTAGCGCCTGCGGCGGGGCCGAAGACGAAGGCTGACGCGGCGCCGGCACCTCCCTTCCTCCCGATTCCTCCTCCATCCCTCCCTCCCCAGGAGGACTGTGTCAGTGGAGCCAGTAGTACACACTCGAGACCATAAAGCAACCATGTGCTGCGACATCCGAGTTTCGGCGCTGCGGTGCCCCCGCCGAGCTCTTGGAGGGGCGCCCCCCCCGGGGCGCACATTGGCGCCTGTCCTGTCCTGTCCTGGCCGTTCCTGTGCAAGCTCTTCGGCACCGCCTGCACCCCGGGCCCCGCCCACTCCGGCCGCCCGAGGCCCCGCCCGCCTGTGCCCTGTCTCCCTAATTAAAGCTGTGCGTAGCCCGCCTAGCTTTTTGCGGAAGAGGCTCGCTCTCGCCCCGCCGACCAAAACTGTCCTGTCCTGAGCGCCAAGCGTGCGTCTGCTGAGGGGTCTCCCCCCGCAGCTGTGCCAAAACCCTCACCTCTGGGTCGCCTCCCCAGTGGTGTTGAAACTTTCAGGGGTTGAAACGAAAAAAAAATAAAACAAAAAAAAAAACACCTCCCCGGGAGGTCCCAGGAGGCGGGTTCTTTGCCTCGGTCCTCCCGTGCACGGGAGCCCTGCCCGTTGCGGCAGGCTCGTGTCGCCGTGCCGCCGTGGCGGCGGCCCCAGCGCGGGCGTTCCAGGTTGTTGAGCGCCGCCAGGGGCCCAGGATCGGCCAGCATCGAGAGGTGTGCACCATCGGACAGCCGCGGTCGCTCAAGGATCAAGTCGGTCACGTCCCTCTACAGGGGGAATCTCAAAACGTGAGTAAAACATCGTCTAGGGACGGCCTTCTGCTATTTCTTGGTTGTCAGTCATCGAATATATATATATATATATATATATATATATATATATATATGTGTTTTTGTTTTTATTTTTTTAGTTTTCGTCCAAAATCCGCCTGTAGGGGGACATGCCCATGCTGCGGCTGCTCCTCCTTTTCCTCCTCCTCCTCCTCCTTCCTCCTCCTCCTCCTCCTCCTCCTCCTCCTCCTCCTCCTCCTCCCCCTCCTCTTCCTCTCAAATCACCACCTCTTCCTGTCCTCCTTCTTTTCTCTTCCGCCTTCGGTAGGTAGGAGGAGAGATCCACGCGGCGTCGGAAGCCAACGCCCAGTCTCCGACGCCGGGGTCGCGACGCCGGGGTCGCGACGCGGCGCGAGCCCGCCGGGGGTCACCCGCAGGGGCGCCCAGACGACCACGCTGCGCGCGCCGCGGCCGGGGCTGGGGGGCCGGCCTTCTCCGTGGCGGCCGCGCGAGGGCGCGAAGGTGAGCGCGCCTCGTGCGTGGCGCCTGCGCGACGCGCGACGTGGGTCGCCGCCCGGGCGACTTTCTGTCAGGATCGGTCCCTGGACTTCTCCCGGGCGCCATCCTGGCCAGTGCTGCGAGCTGCGTGCCAACAGGGCCGCCTTTTCGGAGCGAGAGCATGCGACCGATGTCAAGTCGGTCCTCGCAGGGGGGTGGGAGGAGGAGGAGGAGGGCGAGGAGGGGGAGGAGGACCAGTGTAAACCCAAGAGTCATCAGCGATATTGGAATCAACCCTCCCTCCAAGCTCCCTTTTCATAGGCCCTGACAACGGTTGATTTCCACTGAGGGAACTGCCTCGTTGGAAAACAACCGTTTGACGATCCTGGAGCGTGCCGCAACATTATTCTCGGAACTCCCACGCCACGAATCAAGCTGACTGCTGCGTCTTGACGATCCTGACTCGTGCCAAGTTGCTATTCCTGGGGCTTCAACACCGCGAACCAGAAAAACTGTTGCACCCTCATTGTCTTGAACTTTTCCAAAACACCATTTCTGGTACATGGACAAGGGGAATCCGTGAAACTCTCGCAATGTTTGAAAAAGAATGTGCGCGGCGCTAAGGCGAGAGCCACATTTTGAAAACGACCCGCCCGAAATCCGTGGAGCTCTTGCAAACTTTTGAAACGAATGTGCGCGGCGCTGAGGCGAGAGCCACATTTTGAAAACGGCCCGCCCTCAATCCGTAAAACTCGTGCTAGTTATTAGAATGTGCTCGGCGCTAAGGCGAGGGTCACATTTTGAAAAGGAACCACCCTCAATCCGTGAAGCTCTTGTATTTTTTACAACGAACTTGCGCGGCGCTAAGGCGAGAGCCACATTTTGAAAACGACCCGCCCTCAATCCGTGAAGCTCTTGCAGATTATGGAAACGAATATGCACGGCGCTAAGGCGACAGCTACATTCTGAAAACGACCCGCCTTCAATCCGCGAGTCTCTTGCAATTTTGTATGCCGGATGTGCGCGGCGCTTATGCGAGAACCTGAAAACGACCCGCCTTCCATCAGCGAAACTGTTGACAATTTTTGAGTTCGGGGCCATCAATGGTCCGGAGGTTTCAGGCGAAACGCCCCGCCCGCCCTTTCGACAGGCCTCGGGGTGCGACACGGAGAAGTTATTCAGAAGGAAAAGAATGGAGATGGAAGAGGAGGAGGAGGAGGAGGAGGAGGAGGAGGAGGAGGAAAAGAAGGAAAAGGAGGATGAGGAGGAGGAGGACCAGTGCAAAACCAAGAGTCATCAACGATGTTGGAATTAATCCTCCCTCCAAGCTCCCTCTTCATAGGCCCCTACAACGGTTCATTTCCATTGAGTGAACTGCCTCGTTGGAAGACAACAGTTTGAAGATCCTGAAGCGTGCGAAAACATTGTTCTCGGGATTTCAACGCCACGTATCAACCTTACTGCTGCGTCTTGACGATGCAGAATCGTGCCAGAACGCCATTTTTGGGATTTCAACACAGCGAATCAACAAAACTGTTGCGCCCGCATAGTCCTGAATCCTTTTAATAAACCATTTCTGATAAGTTGATCATGGGAGTCCGTGGAGCCCTTGTAAATTTCAAATACGAAAGTGCGCGGCGCCAAGGCGAGAGGCACATTTTGAAAAGGAGCCGCCCTCAATCCGTGAAGCTCTTGTATTTTTTACACCGAACTTGCGCGGCGCCAAGGCGAGAGGCACATTTTGAAAAGGAGCCGCCCTCAATCCGTGAAGCTTTTAACGAATGTGCGCGGCGCTCAGGCGAGAGCCACATTTTGAAAACGACCCGCCCGAAATCCGTGGAGCTCTTGCAAACTTTTGAAACGAATGTGCGCGGCGCTGAGGCGAGAGCCACATTTTGAAAGCGGCCCGCCCTCAATCCGTAAAGGTCGTGCTAGTTATTAGAATGTGCTCGGCGCTAAGGCGAGTGTCACATTTTGAAAAGGAACCACCCTCAATCCGTGAAGCTCTTGTATTTTTACAACGAACTTGCGCGGCGCCAAGGCGAGAGCCACATTTTGAAAAGGAGCCGCCCTCAACCCGTGAAGCTCTTGCAAATTTTAAAGAACGAATGTGCACGGCGCTAGAGCGATAGCCACATTTTGAAAACGACCCGCCTTCAATCCGTGGAACTCTTTGTACATTTTCAATACGAGAGTGCGCGGCGCTGAAGCGAGAGCCACATTTTGAAAACGACCCGTCCGAAACCCGTGAAACTCTTTCAGATTTGTAATACAAGTGTGCTCGGCGCTAAGGCGAGAGACACATTTTAAAAGCGACCCGCCCTCAAGCCGTGGAGCTCTTGTATTTTTTTGAAACGAATGTGCGCGGCGCTGAGGCGATAACCACATTTTGAAAACGGCCCGCCCTCAATCCGTGAAGCAGTGGTGAATTTTCAGATCGAATGTGCGCGGCGCTAAGGCGAGAACCACATTTTGAAAATGACCCGCCCTCCATCTGTGAAACTGTTGCCGATTTGTAAGCTTCGGCGTCGTAAATGGTCAGGAGGCCTCAGGCGAAACGCCTGGCCCGCCCTAAAAACTGGCTTCGGGGAGCGACAGGGAGAAGTTACCTATAAGGAGAAGGAACGGAGACGAGGAGGAGGAGGCCCTTCAAGGAGGAGGCCTCAGACTTACGACCGCGTCGCGTTTTTTTTCGCAAACTGGACGCTCGGAGGGCCCGACGATGGGTTGTTTTTTTGTTCATCCCAAGCAGTTTTTCGATGGCCAGTGAGCCTAGTATGTATGGGGCGCCCAGGAGACCAACAGTTGTCAGAGCCCTGCTGTCGTGATTCTTTCTTGGTGACGGCTCCAGCGCAGGGTTCACTTAGCGGGCCGGCCTTTGACCTTAGAGGGGTGCCCAGCAGGTGGCCTCGGATTCGGGCGAGTAAGAATACGTGCGGGGATAGCGGGGTATCCAACACGCGTCTTGGCACGCATGCGTTTGGCATGTGTGTTTCGCATGTTCCCGGCACCGGGCCTGCCACATATGCGATGGCGAATCTGTGGCATGCGGATTTTCCACATGTGAAATCTGTGCGCGGAGGGGGGTACTCTACATGCGTCTAGCACGTGTGCACTTGAAACGTGTTTTCACGTGTCCCAGCCCCACTTCACATTTGGAAATGCGCGTGCGGAGGGGGGTGGCGTGCACATCTGGAACGTGCTTTCGCGATGTCCAGGCCCGCAGGGGGATGTCGAACGTGCGCGAAGGGGGTTGCCCCACCTGCGTCTGGCGCGTGCGCATCTGGCACCTGTTTTCCACACGTCCAGGCCCCTTCGGGGATGTCGAACTTGCGGTCCGTGGATTCGGCACGCGTGAAAATACGCACCCGCAGGGGGAGCATCCAAAGTGCGGCTGGCGCGGGTGCATGCTGCACGTGTTTTCGCGTGTCCAGCCCCCCAGGGGGATGAGGCGGAGGAGGAGGAGGAGGAGGAGGAGGAGGAGGAGGAGGAGGAGGAGGAGGAGGAGGAGGAGGAATAATAATGATAAGGGTAATAATAATAAAAAATGAAGAATTAGACGAATAATAAGAGTACGAATAATAACAATAAGATGAATAATAATAAGAAGAATAATAACCATATTCAGAAGACTAAGATTGATAAGCAAAAGGAGACGAATACGAATCATAATAATAAGAAGAATAATAATAAGAATAATAAGCAAACTAAGAAGAAGACGAATCATAGCACTAATAAGAATTATAATAAGACTAGTACTAATACTAAGAACAATACTACGATGATGATGATGATGGCGATGATGATGATGATGATGATGATGATGATGATGACGATGATGACGATGATGATGATGATAAAGATGATGATGATGATGATGATGACGATGATGATGATGATGATGATGATGATGATGATGCTGATGCTGATGCTGATGCTGAT